TTTCTTGTCTCATATTTCAACAATTCCTTGAAGCAGCTGTTTATTTCTTAAGCAGTTGTGTTGGTTTAATGTATTTTATTATTTTTAGTTGAAATACTAAATGGTAAGAAGAATACAGCACAAATAATCAGGCACAGCTACAGTAATCCTAAAAATTTCAAGCGAGATCACAAGTATATGCAGATAAGGAAGAATTAATCTGAAACTGTACAGAGGCAATGCCTCTAATTTGTGCCTTCAAAAACAGAGGGAAATAAAAGAAGGAAAGGAAAAAATGGAAGAGGTAGAAAACAACTTACTAAGATCAGTGGATTAAGTAAATGCTGATTTATCAGAAACAGCAGATGCTATTTCCGTTAACAAAGTACAACATTATTTATCTACAAAGACATTTTGCTAGCCCTCACAATTTTATATGAACATGGCTGGCCCATCTGGTGCCTCAACTAAATGGGATAACTAAACAGCGGAGTCGTCTAAGCACTATGAAACAACATTAGAAACAAGAACCCAAGTGGCTCCCACTAAATATTGTGCTTTTATTCAGAAACTTTGTTGACCAAGCAGCATGGGTTGTTTAAGTTAATCAGTCTGCTCAGAATTCTGATTTTTTGTAATGCAGTAAGTCTTTGAAAAATAAGATACTACAGTAAACTGTGAGGTATTTGCTTTGAATAAATCCATATTTCTGATTCAAATACCAGTTCTGCCTCCCCTCCCGCCTGCAGTATTTATAAAAGGAAGCAGGAAAACACAAAAGATTCTGTAATAAGCCTGTCTTAAGTGTTCCGATAACAGAATTAAACAACATTCTCAATCAGGAGATTGCTTTGGCTAAGCCAGTTATTTTTCCATGTTCCTATTTTTGATAGCATGTATTAAAATGAAAAGCAGATTATGTAACCTATTAAAAATGCACATTATGGTAGATGTTTGTATAACAATGATGTACAGGTAGTCCTGGAGTTACAATGGCAACTGGGACTGGAATTTCCATCGCTAAACAATGCATTCATAAAGTGCAATATCATGTGACTGCATCACTTAGCAACAGCAATCCCTGCAGTCCCGTTACTGTAGTTAAGTGAGGATCATGGGTCGTTAAGCGCGCACCTCCTTACAACTTCCTGCTGGCTTCCAACAGTCAGTGGGGAAGCCAGCAGGAAGTTGCAAGTCCTAGGTGGCTTGTAAGCAGGCCAGCAGGCAGGGGAGTGGCTGCTGCTGGGTGGCAGAGGGAGCGAAGGGGTGTGGGGGTGGCCAGGGAGGCGCAGCACAAGCAGAGCCAGAGTGGCTGCTGCTGGGTAGGAGAGAGTGCACGAGGGTGCACGAGTGGCAGGGGAGGGTGAACAAGTGCCCAAGAAGGTGCGGTGCAAGCACAGTAAGGCTCGGGGAGAGTCCATGAGAGTGCGCAAGTGGTGGGGGAGGCACAGTGTGAGTGCAGTGAGGCTCAGGGAGGGTGCATGAGTGGCCAGGAAGGTCGCATGGAGAGGTACGTGAGTGTGAGGCTTAGGGAGGATGCATGAGCATGTGCGGGAGGCTAATGAGGCGTGGCTTGAGCACAGAGGGGCTGGGGGAGGGTACACAGGTGGGGGAGAGTTACCCAAGCAATTTGTGACCTTCCCAGTTGGCTTCCCCATTTGCTTGTGGGAAGCTGGCAGGGAAGGTCGCAAATCATGATCACATGACCGTGGGACACTGCAACTGTCATAAGTGCAAGCTGGTTGCCAACCACCTAGATTGAAGGCAAACGTGACTATGGGGATGCTGGGACAGCTGGAACTTCGAGGACGTGTCATAACCATCACTCGTTCAATGCTGTCATAACTTCAAATGGTCGCTGAATGAGTGGTCGTTAACCAAGGACTACCTATATGAATAGATACAACATAATTTTATTTGGATGCATACAAGCAATAATACAGAATATACTGGAGCCCCAGCAAAGCTTTGATACTTTGCTGAGCGGCCATGAACAACAGCAGAACCAGGGCTTATATAGCTTTGGCCCACTACATTACAAGACAAAGAAAGGAAAAGGCAAAACGAAGAAAAAGGCAAACACAGTAGAACTTACAGCATGACATTAGAATATTTTAGATAACCCCATCTGTATGACTTTATTATTACTTATCCCTTCCTATTAGGTCAGCATACTAGCCATACTATCTCTGAGATATGGTCAGTGAATAGAAACAATTTGGTTTACTGGGTGACAGGTTCCTGACTGAGTCTTCTCTCTGTCACCTCTCAGGGTCAATCAGCTTATTCTGAATATTTTGTTAAATGTTTTGTTAAGGATTTCATATGTATGGAGTGTGGGCATCTCAAAGGTTTGGTAGTGAATGCTTCTTACATGTATACAGTGTGGGGGGTACCTTTTACCACTGCAACAGGTAGCCCTTGTTATCTGCAGTTTCTCACCAGTTGATGAATACAAGTCTCTGTGGTAAAGGTTTTTCTGCATCTATAGTTTTTTTGCACATGGTTCTGATCCATCTGCCATTTCATGCAGAACAAAACTCCATGCTCTTGGAACACTTTACCACCTCCACAGATGAAATTAACAAGCACACTGCAGAGACCTCTGCTGAAGGAAGTGACAAAGGTTTTGCAATATATTGCAGGTTTTGCAGCAGTTCTCAAACATCTTGGTCTAAGGAGACTTTTGCATTCCTAAAAATGACTGAGGAATCAAA